AAAAAAATAAAAAAAAAAAAAAAAAAGAGGGGGTGGAGGGAGGAAGGAAAAAAAGGGGAAAAAATGGGGAAAAAAAAGGAAAAAAAGGAAAAAGTATCGAGTGTCCAGTATGACCATACATGGGGGCATTTAGAGCAGTGCTGCTACACGCAGCTGCAGACCAGCTCCAGGCCCGGGTCTGCCATCCCCAGAGCTCGCTCCGGGCCGGTCCCAGAGGTTCTATGGCGGTGAAGAAAACACCGACGGTGCCCCGATGGGTAGGAACGGGGCAGGGCCGCAGGGGGCACAGGTGACACCCTTGGGATCTTTTTGCCCCGGCTCGGGAGAGAAGTGACGGCGGCGACGCTGTGTTCCAGGTGCGGATGGTGAGAGGGGAGTTGGTCGATGAAGCCGGTAGCTCCGCTTTGGAGTGGATAGGGTTAATCCGGGCCGCCCGCAACGCCCAGGAGCAGACTCTGGAGGCCGTCGCGGACCTGCCGGGAGGACAGGTACACCCCGCCCGTCCCTCGCAGCTCCCCGCGCCGCCCCCGCGGCTCTCTGACCGAGTGCCCCTTCTGCCCCCACGCAGATCTTCTACCGGGCGCTGCGCGACGTGCAGCCCGGCGAGGAGCTCACCGTGTGGTACTCCAACCCCTTGGCGCAGTGGTTCGACATCCCGCTCACCGCCACCCCCACGCACGACGAGAAAGGTAGGGGACGCGTTGCCGGGTCCCCACGTGCAATACGAGTGGTGGGTGAGTGCGAGGTAACCCCACCGGAGCAGCGTGCCGGCACGGGGACTTCAAACCTCTCCGCAAGACCCCCAGTTGCCGATTTCCGAAGGGCGATCCGCGGTAGCGTACGGCAGGGCCCCATCCCTCGGGGCGCTCCGGCAGGGGCACAACGCAACATCGCCGAGTGCGCGGTGGGGCTGTAGGAAACAACTTTGCGGCTAAGTGCCTCTGGAGGGGAGGTGTGTGTACGTGGAAATATCGCTTCCCCCTCGCGTGTGCCCCGGCCGGAGCCTCGCACGCTCGTGTCGGGGTGTAACGCGGGCAGAATCGCGGTCAGTGAGAAGGTGGATCATTCGATGAAGCTCAAACCGGCCCTAAATGTCCCTAAGACGCCCGAGGACATTGGGAATGGAAAGACAGCGGCCCTGGACCACTCGCTTCAATGCGCAAACCGATTCTCAGCTGGAATTGTACCCCTCACCTTTACGCTGCGAAGAATCAGTGACAACGCGGTAATGCACGAAATGGGGGGAAGGAAGTTGGAAAACTTCAGCCCGAGCCTCGCCCGACGCGACCACGGGCGCTCCGGAACCGCTGGATCTGACGCTGGGAAACCGCCTGCCGTCGAACTGCAGGAACTCTCGCATGGCTCCATGTGCCGGGGCGGTACCCGGAGAGGCAGCCCCTGCTCTGCACCCCCCACGGACAGCAGCGGGACCCACCTTCACGTCCGAGCCGACCCCACGGCCCCGCCGTTCCCAGCCCGCTTGGTGCTGGGCCGGAATTCGAATGCTGAAGCTCTAATGCTAAGGATGGAAAACTGGGGAAAAAGAGAAAAAGAAAAGAAATACAACCAAAAAACAGAGTGGAAGAAATTTTCATTTTAGTTTCAATATTTTCGAAAGCTTGAACAAACGAAACCCAATCGAATTGATCCTAACGTTATGCGATAGAGCCGATTTTCTTTCTTTTTCGATATACTTTATTTTTATTTTTATTTTATTATTATTATTTTTTTATCCCCTTCCCGCTCTGGGCTGGGACAGCAGTGCATGCAACCACGCCGCCGAGAAGCATGGAGCCAACAGTGCGCGTTGGGAACGGGCAACGGAACGGGTGTCCGGAGCTGGGCATGGCGTTGTCCGAGAGCTGTGCCACTCCACGTCCACCCCGACGCCACCGTTTTGCCCAGCAAGCGGGGGCTCCAAGGGTTGTCCGGTACTCGGCCGCTTGTTGGTCGTTGCGGTGCGTGGAGCCTTGAGGGAGGAGTGGATGGGAGCGTGTGGGGCGCGCAGCAGCTGAGGGAACTTCGGGGATGTTGAAAATGTATGAGCGATGTTTGGAGATGGACGGCTCAGATGGTAGAGGGATGGGGAAATGGGTATGGGTGGTGGAGGGGAAGAAATCAAGGAAAGAGGGGGGGGAAGTGAAAGGTTCAGGGAGAGAGAGGGGGAGAGGAAAGAGAGAAAGAGAGAAAGAGAGAAAGAAAGGAAGGGAGGAAGGGAGGAAAGGAGGAATGGGAGGAAGGGCGAAAAAAGAAGAATGAAAGGCAGGAAGGAAGGACACGTTCAGAGAAGATGAAGACGTCCGCACGGCGGATGCCCCCCGCAGGCAGCGCAGAACGAAGCGGCGCTCCGGGCCGGGCCGGCAGCGAACAGCCGCGGCCACCGGGGTCTCTTCCGCTTGAGAGGATCCGAAATGTTCGGAGCCGGGGCACAAAGGGCATTGTCCTCTGAAAGGGAACGATTACATATGGCCCATACATATCGGATATTGTCTCGCCGCGTAATGAGGGGCTCACGATCATTAGATTGGCCTTTGTTCTGCGCGGCCGGCTCCCCGCCATACGCCGCCTCTGCTGCGAGCGCCAACAGATGGCCCCCACCCCCGACAGCAGACCCCGGCGGCAGCTGCTCCCCCCCGTGCCCGGACGGGAGAGCTCCGGGGCCGCATCGCGCAGTGCCGCGGGGTGGGAGCGGGACGGGAGCGGGACGGGAGCGGGGCTGCCGTCTGCGGGCCGCGGGCTGAAGGTGCTGCCCTTTCCCTCCGCAGGGGAGGAGCGCTACATCTGCTGGTACTGCTGGAGGACCTTCAAGTACCCCAACAGCCTCAAGGCCCACGTCCACTTCCACTGCGCGCTGAGCCACGGGCGGCCCTTCCTGCACTCCGAGCACGGCCGCCCCCCCGCCGCCGCCGCCTTCGGCCTCTCCTCGAGGGCGGCCGGCCCTCATCCGCCTGGCTGCGGCCCGCGAGACGCCGTCAAACGAGAGGCTGCCGCCGCCTCCCCGCCGCCGGTCAAGCCCCGACGTGC